TCAGGAAATTCTCTACTACAGCACAGGATTTTTAACCAGCTCTGATGTGTGAAGATGCAACCACCACTCACCTCAGAGATGGGAGATGGCTCTAGGTCTCGAGTAGTCTCCTCAGGCAGCATCCCAACCTGAGGGGAGGCAAAGCGGATCAACCCGTTGAGCAATCCCAGAAGTTATGATAGAATCTTTCCTCCTCCTTGAAAATCTAGAAAATCTTGAAAATTTTGAAAATCTAGAGAACATGCTCAGTGAGGAGTGATCATATTGTGGAGGCACATAACTTTTAGGACAGAGGTGTGCATAGGCATTATAATAAGCTTGTAATGAGCAAAGTTCAAGCAAAGTTCATTCAAAAGGAGCGATTTGCCACCCTTGCTGGCTCAGCACTGGACATCATATCGTATACCTCCCACTGGGCAGCTACTGTGTGGTTGATCAGCAGCACAGCACAGGGAGCACAGCAGGGCTGGCCCATGGTGTCTTTTCTCTGCTCCATCCTTCTTTGCTCCTGTCTGCATCTGCTGGGAGGGCAGATTTTGTTGCCTAGCGAGATATGGAGGAGCAGAGCATACCAACCATGCTGGAAGTGGCAACTGTGTGTCACCCCAAGCAAGCTTCTGTAATGCCAAAGCTTCTGCTAGGCCCTAGTTTTTCTCTAAGTTCTCTCTCCAAGATATTATTCCACAGTGTCAGACCTTGATTTCAATGTATCAATATCAAATGCACCTAAAATATAGTAGCGTAACTAAAACAACAATCATGGCCTTACCTATTATAAGCAGTGTCAACCTAATATTCTTTATTTTTTTAAAGGCCCGTCTGCTTGAAAAGCAGGAAGCAGCAAAGAGTAATAACATATTCCAGAAGCTTTCCAGTAACCACAAAAGTTAAGCTGATCAAGATAGTCTTTGAATTGCCTCTTTTGTCCTTGCAAAATGTGGGTGCCCTGATTGCCTGCTGATTCTTTGGTATCCTCTAGGTTTCTTTATGCAGGCAATTTCTGGAAATAATCCATCATGACAGAGCAGAAAATCCTTCCTGAGACTGATGATAGACCACATGCCAAACTCTATGTGATATACTGATTCTTACCTAAAGAATTTTCCTCCATCTAGAAATAGTTTTATGCCTCTAACACTTTTGCAATTCCTTTATATGGAAAGCTTCAGGGAGAGTGCTTATAGTAGGAATTACTATCTTTTTAGGAATATATGTATTTACAGAAGAAAGCAATGCAACATTAAGTAAGTTTAAATTAGGCTGAAGTATTTCAAAGCATTTTATGTCATATCACAGAACCAAAAGAAAGTACCAGATGCTTCATTTGAATGCAGCAGCCAGCAAAAGGAGGAGGACCAGGTAAGAGTATCTACAAGTTTGGTTATTTACTTAGCTAGACATGTATAACTTTTGCTAAAACTAGACTAAGAAAAAGATCTTCGTGAATATATTTAGCTGATGGATTCTCCTGAACTGCTATTTTCAGAAAATAAAAATATTCTTGTCTCAGTCACTTTTGTTTTTCTTAAACAGAAATATAATTTCTTGATAGACTTTCTTGACTTTCCTTAAAATTGGGTGTCTCTCATGGAAATAAATTAGGAATTATTTGATTTTTTTAGCTTTTATTATTTTGTTCATTATAATTTCTCCTATGGTACAATCATCCTCTTCTATAGTCATAGTAATGAAATATAAATATACTTAAGTCTTCTGTCATGAGCTGATGACTAATAAAATCAATATCTATTTGACAAAGTAAATACAGACCTTTCCCTCTTCTACTACCCATTTCTGAACTATCCAGACATATTTTAAAACCTAGTGTATACATTCAGCTCTTCACCTTGCTTGCTTTCATCTGACAAAATTATCTATATTACAGAAACACTTGGAGGATGGTGCTGTCAACAAAATTTTATTTAGTAATATTTTCACTTCTCTTTTTGTATTGTAACACTGTTAACATAGTCATCTGTCTTTCCTTAATTGCAGGTGCACATTTTTTCTAGTCTCTTTTTTTTCTTTTTTTTTTTTTTTTTTAATGTATTATGCAGTACAATTTTGTCTTCTTTTTAGTCTACTATCAGACTCCTCCATTTAATACACATACTCTGGATGGTTTCCCAGAGGAGTAGCATCTAAAATTATAGTTACAAACAACAATTTTGGTGTAAACTCCCTGACTTTTTTTATGCCTAATAAGGTCAGTGTTTCTCTATTCAATACTGAACCCATTTGTGATTTGTATTTCTGAAGCCAGCCCATTAGCTCTTTTACCCTCTCAAAAACCTCTGCAGCATTCAGTATCCAGTAATATGACAATTTCAAGATTTTTAGCATTGTAGGTTTGTATGTCTTTGATTATTTTTTCTTATTTTTTTATTTAAGCACTTGGCTCATTTCCAGTCTTGAGTCAGGAGGCTGTTTGAAAGCTACTCTGTGGTTAACAAACTTCTTCAGGTAGTAACAGTTCTCTGAAAGCGCTTTCTTGCTTGGTGGCATATCACTGAGGAAGACAAAAGAGGTAATATTTGGTGCTGTCCAATATATTTTTTCCTCATTGACCTTAGAAATAAATATAATGCAGTATGTAATTTCTCTGTGTTGTTTTTTAAATTTGGTTATAAAATGTGCAGTAGCATAATCACTTTTCTCCTCTTTCAGTTCAAATGGCTTTTGTATTTATAATTTATTATTTATACTATCTTATAATTCCTCTCTGTTGATGGTTTTGTTTCGTTTTTCTAGACATGAAAGTGTGGAGATAATGGACATAAATAGTCCTCTACAGAATGGACATACATAGTCCTCTACAGTTAAAAATATTAGAGGTCTCTTCTACTTTTGGTAGGCAAACAGAGGAACCAAGCAGAATGAGAATATGTATCTCCAGCTGCTAAAGTTACTTAAGCTAATTTATAAATGTTTTCCTTTTAAATTCAACAACAATTATAATCATAAAAGCCTCATATATTTGACCTCATGAATCACAGCAGACAAAACTGGTGAGGGAATTGTTTTCTTGTTTTCTCATGTGGTTCATAATTTCACTGTACTAGATTGGAATCTGTGCTAAACTCTTATGGATAACTCATGTAACACTGATTTTGGATAACAGCCTAGGTTCCTCAAGTTACTGTGTAATTAGACTTCTGCATTTTGGACTGTCTGGATTTTTTTTTTTTCCTTTTTGATCCAAAAGCCAAATATTTATTTTAGAAGATGATATAACATACTGCATAAGTGTCACCAGTGTATAGAACATAATTTATGTCTAAATGTGATAAGCTGATGACCTTCAAGATCATTGAGTTAACCATAAGTCATTCACTTTCATTGTCTTTTATTCACATTCATTTAGAGCAGAAGATTTAAAGGTAAAATTATATGGGTATATTTATGTATATGAAATGTTTATAAGGACACAGAAATCTGCAGTCATTGAAGTCTCACACTAAATAGAAGCTTATTTCTATGCTTGTTAAATGACACATGATCAGTTAATTAATTATCAACATCAAATCATTATCATTTCATACAATATCAACTTATAGATTTGACAATGATTAGGTACATGTCAAATTGCTTTTAAAGAAAGCAATCTTTCACGATATACAGAACACAATATTTTCCAACAAATTTTAATTCTTCAACTTACTTCCATTATTCCCACGACTCTTCTCACAAAAAATATAAGGCTAAAATCAAACATTTTAAAGGTAATTATGTATCAGAATGTAATTTTGGTGTTTGGACTACATAATCTCCACAAATTTTCCAACCTCAAGAATTCCATGATTATAGATAACATGGAGTAAAGAACAATTTTTTTAAAGTTTTTGTTCAATTTTCATTTGCATTCCTAATAGTTACTATCAAAAAAGTAATATTTAGCTCAAAGACTAGATTTGCTTCCATAAGAAAAAGTAAGGTTCAAAAAAAAAGGGGTATCAATTTTAACTTCCATCCAGCTAAGGACAATACTTTAGAAACACTCAGCACAAAATGTATTATTGTACTCAGACCAAATAATATGAAAATACAGAAATACTCATTGAAGAACTGGGAATGGGAAAAATGGGAGAAAAAAAGTCATGTAATTATGTTAATAAAAATATGCAGATATATGTGTGTTTACAAGTTAAATTACGGTGACTAGATGGTAGTTAGAAATAACAAATATACTATAGCAGGTCAGCAATAAAGTGCAGTAAAAACTGTATGTTTCCCAAAGTATGGTATATCAGCAATATGTAGCATTTTGTAGACAAGCAGGAGGCCAGATATATAGATGACTATGACCTGAAGTGTTTAAAATGCAATTTCCATATAACCCAACATGATTAGTTCTACACACAAAGATATAACTGCAATTTTTACTATTTCTCCCTGAATATGAGCAGAATATTTAGCATTAATACTCACAAATACGAGGTGATTTACCCTGAAAAATGATCCTTAAAATCCCAACACAGAGTCCTCTTGTCTGTTCATATAGTCCTTGGATATTCATAACATAATAGCAGCAGAAACCTATCTAGACTTCTTATTTTTGCCACCTGCTGAATTACATCTGAATGTTCTCATCAGTCACCCCAATGTTTTGCACTGGAGTCCTTTATTAGACTTCTCAGCAAAAGCTCCTCTCTATTTTTCATTACAGAGGAATTTCTTATCTCTCCTTGGCTTTCTGCTTGAGCCTGTCCTTGCCTATATATTTCTAGCCTTGGTAACATTGTAGCACGTACTAATAAAGCTTTTCTGATGATTTCTGAAGTCCTTTTCTCTCACAGAAGAAGAAAGCAGGTAAAGTTTCTTCATGCTTTTAGCCTTTTCAAAACTTCTCAATTTGAACTGTTTACTCATTTGTTGGAAGGAGATGGAACTGAACTTTCTGCTTTTTTTTTCTTTCTTTTCTCTTTTCTTTTTCTTTTTTTTTTTCTCATTTCAGCCTCCTCTAAACAAGACTTTCCTATATTTAGATGTTCAGACAAAAGCCAAGGTATGAGCCTGTCAGAAGACACATCTGCATCTCCTCCTCCCAGGAGGTAAGGATACCTCTGTACCTTTCTATTTCCTTTCTCCCTTTATAGATTTCAGATGATTCCCTAATAATTCCCGAGTGTCTCATAGCTGGTCTTTCTGGTGGATTTAAACTCAGTTTGGCTAGCCTGCCATAATAGAAAAGTACCTGAGCTGCTTTTAAACTAGTTATCGAAGTACCGATAAGATGATAGAACACTATTGACTATTTTATTTCTCAAGATAAGATATTCAGTCAATAAGATATTCAGTTGGATCAGTGAATGTTGTAACTCAATCAGTAAAATGCATAAGTTTTCAAATATTAAAATAAACAATCCTGAAAGCATACCTGCTGACTTGTAAAATATGCAGCTTAATCAGTAGATCATACAATACAGTTTGATGGCTAAAATATACTGGAGCATTAGGAAGAAAAAATACTTAATTTCTTCCATTCATATTTAAGGAAATGAAGCAGTCATATTAAAAACTTTGATGCATCATTCTGTAATAGACTCAAAGTCTTTAATGTAGTCGAAATGCTAAGAGTGAGTGGGTAATTCTTTTTCTAAAAAGAATATAGAAAATAGCAAATGCTATGAAAAAGCAGTCAAAATAAAAATTGTTTGCTAAGAGAAAAAGAAGATAGTTTGCTTCAACTTATATTTGTATTGTTTTATATTAAGTTCTCAAGGCCCAATGAACCTCAGACTAAAGAGTAATTTAACAAAACTGGAATAAATTTTCCTGTTTTCCAGGAAAGTCTTCTAAATTCAAAATACCTGTTTAATGCATCTCTACTTTAAAATATATTTTTCTGCTTTCTTCAAACACTTTGTTCTGAGAAATAGATGCCTTTAGCCACAATGGTTTTGGCTTTTACATCTTTCATTCTCTTGAACTATTTACACTTAATATAATGAAGTTTATATATGTGGCCGTGATATGGAAGCACATGATACCACACAGAATTTGATAGTGTAGAAATAAATGAACAAAAGCTGATAGCACACTAAAAAAAAAAAAAAAAAAAAAAAAAAAAAGAAAGTTTCTATAAATATACTTTTCCCCAGCTCTGCTTTTGTCTAACAATAGAAAATGTAGTCTCTGCCCCAAAGTGCATACTTTCTGAATAGGTAGTATGCCATCAAAGAAGGTGGGGGAGCAGAGAAGAGATAAATATAATGACTGACAGCTAGTAGTATAGTTGCTTTTCCAAAATGCTACATCAGGTGATGAAAGAGCTCAGTTTCTACCTATTAGAGGACACAATGATTGGAAGCAAGGTATAGCTGAATGAGGAGTTTAAATTTGTTTAGATTAGGCAACAATTTGTTTTTTGTTAGAAATAGGTAAAGGCTGGTCTTTGAAGCAGGCTCACTGGAGAGGGAAGAAGGCTTATTTCTAGGGACATAAAGTAGGACTGGGAGAGACCAAGAGGGTGTTTATGAGAAAGATCAGTAGGGCTTTAGGAGGCTTCATGGAGCCTTTGCATGTTCTCTTTTTTTGATTTATTCCTACTCTATATATGTGGCAGCCCTACAGGATTTCCATGTTAACTGTCATCCCCATTTTTTTTTAACAGTGTTTTCTCTGTTCAGGCTTCTCTTGTAAGAAGTAGCCCTTTCTCCTACACTGAGTCTGTTCATCTTCCTGTGTTTCACACACAGCTGAGAAGGGAAATGGAACACATTCAGGACTGAGACCTTCTCCTGCTTCAAAAAGAACCATAGAAGGCCATCCTTGGCTCTCTAAAGGATGGAAAGAGGAGTAATTCTGCCTTTCAGGGTTGACTAGTTAGCTATGAAAGAGAAAATATTAGATTTCTTCATCTTGACCTTTTTATTTTTCTGACACATAATGTTAATTATAGATGTACTATGCTGTCTCTATGCTTTCTAGACATAGGAGACTCTTTTTCAGAAGTTATACACACCTGGAAACTTCAACACCAAAAAAACTTTCCAAAAACATTTGAAGTATACCATTCCAGATTCAAAATCTTTCAAAAGAAATAGAGTTCAAGGTGCTTTCCACAGTATGTAAATATTTTATGACTGTCTTTTTAACTCATGAATCAGGAAGGATTCTTTTAACAGTATTAATGTGGTTATGGCCCTAAGATGATGCATATATCTCTTGCTAATGGATAACTTTATAGCCTGATTTGCCTGTTGTTAGCTTTGCTTGAATAATAGAAGCATTTTTCTAGATTGTAATGCTGGCTATCACCCCACAGAAACCTACCTTGGCAGTCTGCCATCTGCTTTCCTTCCTCCATACTGTGGTGACACACAATTTCTTTGAAGTAAACAAGCCTCATGCAGTTAGGTTTCAATATCACTAGTTCTAATTATTTGTCTTGTTTACATCTATTCTTATCCAATGGTAAATTGCTATCCTGACTGCAAGCAGATATTTTTTTCAGATACAATATCTTTTTTGATTAACAGGAAAGAAAAAAAAATCTAAGAATATTTCAGTGCATTCCTTATAAAAGCTGTATTGTTAACAAGCAAGCTTAAGGAAAAAACAGATAAAAATAAATCATGACCTTTGATTGTCAACTAAATTGCATGATATATAGTTTCAAAAGCCCTTTCTAAGTGTTAAAAAATGCTACTATTCCAGAAAGAAGAAACAGAATCACCATTTTTCTCTTTATTCCATGGCACCACACAGTGTTAGCTGATATGGATATTTATCACTAGCTATTGTTTATAATTATCTGTTACCTATGTACTAGTGCTATTAGTATCTATTTTGCAGGCTTTTCAAAACAGTCAACCAGCATTAAATAGTTCTTTGATTTCTAATTCTGTTTCAGAGAATCCTCCACATTGTTTTCTTGTGTCATAAGATATAATTCCCCTGATTTCAATAAACAATAAGGACTTATATTTTCTGAGTATTTCTCCAAGAAAAATAAATGGGAAATAAATCTATACCATATTACAGTCTAATTTCAATATATAAGCACGTACAAAACACTCTGAACTAAACCATTATTCAGATAGATCAACATTCAGAAGGCTTTTCCTAAATAATTATATGTTTATAAATTTCATACTATAGTTTGCCCAAGTCAGCTGAATAAATTCTCAGTGTGTCATGCTTCTTTTTTCTAGTCTTTCCTTTCCTATATGTTATGATATTTCCTGTATCGTATGCATACGATGCAAGTAAATAAATTAGTCAAGCCAAAATAACATTTAGATTATTCAATTTGTTAGAAATACATGGAGATTTTATGTAACAGTTTTTCTAAAATAAGGTTTTTAAACATCTCTAACACCAAATTACTTAAATGAATTAAGAATTTTTTCATTCCTTAAAAGAGCAAATGGTGCCCAATACAAATGATGATTTTTGTCCCATTCATACTTCCTAGCACTACATGATAGAGGTGCATCTCTTGGGTTAGGGAGGTTACTGCAAAAGGTCAATTTCACTTTTTGTTTTACCACTATTATAAGCAAGGTGGATCACTGTGCTATATGACCTCTTGGAAAACTTGAGTTGTGAATTGCTGGTATGGATTAGAAATGCTTGGCTAGGAAGGTTTCTATCTCTGCAAAAACTTCCCTCAGAAGTGAGTCATGAAAAAGAAAGTGTGTCAGGTGTTGATCTTACCTTTTTCTTTTATCTCCCCAGAGAACAGAATAAAAAGCTGATAGCTGATAGAAAAAACTTACCTTAAAAAAACAGTCTTCAGCCCGCTCAAATGCCATCCAAAAGCATCTGTTACCGACACCAGTCGAATGTCTATTCAAGTAACTGCCTTTACATCAATGCAATAACTATTTTAGATTTTTTTTTTTTCTGAGGATGTGAAGAAAATGAACGTTCCACTTCAGCTGCTTCCGATTTCTTTATGACATAACATAAATTCACAAATATTATTCAAATGACTTTGAGCTAACATGCAAGGCATTAAGTATTTCATTATGGGTATAATCTATTGTGCTAAGTGACACCAAGTACTTTATTATCAATCTATTACTTAACTAGAATATCTTCATAGATTCATAGAATTTCTGAAACAGATGTATTTTCCAAAAATATTATTTGATACTTACTTTTTTTCCCCCTGCTACTTGCTAATGTTATTTTTCTTGACTTAGAGAGACACCGATGATACTAAAGGCCATGTAATATCTGTTATCCTCTGCTTTTGTTGATGTGTACTTATGTGTACCATGATAAAATTTTCAGTTAATGGTTCAATATATTCTCAAAATTTTGTTCCCTTTTCCCAAATTTCTCATCGAGAGTATATTGATAGATACTTTAATTAGTTTAGATAATAAGATGATACTCAGAAATATTTGTCTTTGCATTAGTTCCAGAAGAGGTCTTGCATATTATGTATTGCTAATAATTTCCAGGGCTGTAGACTTCCACTAACATCTCAAAGCAGTTTGCAAATGTTAATTTACCCTTTAAAATAGTACTTCAAATTGTTATATATAAATATTTGGTTGACCTGTAAAGCACACTGAAAATTCAGAAAATATGAAAGATGGATTATTACAGCTTCTGACTTTCTTATTTCAATTCTAATCTTACATATTTTGATTTACTAGATATTTTGTTATCTAAGTTTACCAAGGTTACTGAGGAAATCAACAGCTGAATTGGATCTAGATCCTTGGAATTTTTTTTCCGTTCTATTTAAATTTAAACTTTAAACTTTATTTTCAACAGTGAGCTCATGCTTGCTTTTGGGATAAAGATTTTTTCTAAACAAAACAATAACAACTAGATTTTATTTAATTAGAAAATAAGTTATTTTGGTTAGAGAACTTATCAAATTCCTACAGGTAGAAGGAAAAAAAATATTTAAATGTTCTGTTCTTGACTTCAGAAAGCATATTTACCATCTTGATTAAAGAAAATGTAAGTGTTCAGAATACTGAATTGATTGAAGACTGGGAATTTTCACATGCAGCTGCTTAAAATAACATATAATAGGAGTTGTCAATGCCTGTACATGAAGATTATAAGAGCATTTTTAGGTTTT